CGGGGAACGTTGGAGTCCGCTGTCACTGGAGCAAGCAAGCCTCCCTGTTCGCTTCAGCGCATGGCTGCCGGCTGCCATCTTGGCTGACAGTTAATTTGCATAAGGATATGCTGATTAGCCAATGGGAAGGGTAGCGGTAGTACGCTAATTACCATGTTTCTCTTTTATTAGTGTAGATGTCCTTCTTTGTCTGTTATTATAGCCTTTATTTTAAAGTCTATTTTGTTTGATAGAAATATTGCTACCCCAGCTCTCTTTTTGTTTTCATTTGCATGAAATATCTTTTTCTATCCCTTTATTTTCAATCTCTGTGTATCTTTCTACCTGAAGTGAGTCTCGTTTTTTTAATATATATTTTTATCAATTTCAGAGAGGAAGGGAGAAGGAGAGAGAGAAACATCAATGATGAGAGAGAATCACCAATTGGTTGCCTCCTGCACGCCCCCCACTGGGGATTGAGCCTGCAACCCAGGCATGTGCCCTGACCAGGAATCAAACCACAACCTCCTGGTTCATAGGTTGATGCTCAACCACTGAGCCACACTGGCCAGGTAAAAGTGAGTCTCTTGCAGATAGCATATATATGGGTCTTCCTGTTGTTGTTTTTTAAAATAAATATGTTTTTATTGATTTCAGAGAGGAAGAAAGAGGGAGAAAGAGATAGAAACATCAATGATGAGAGAGAATCATTGATCAGTTGCCTCCTGCATGCCCCCTACTGGGGATTGAGCCCGCAACTGGGGCATGTGCCCTTGACCAGAATCAAACCTGGAACCTTTCAGTACTCAGGCCGATGCTCTATCTGCTGAGCCAAACCAGCTAGAGCTGGTCTTGTTTTCTTAATCATTCAGCTACCCTATATCTTTTGATTGGAGCATTTATGCCATTTACATTTAAAGTGATTATTGAAAGGGACTTAATTATTGACATTTTATCATTCATATTTATGGGGGAGTGTCCTTCTTCTTATAAAGTCCCTTTAACATTTCTTGTAATAATGGTTTGGTGGTGGTAAACTTTTAGCTTTTTTTTTTTTTTTAATCTGGGAAGCTCTTTATTTCTCCTTGAATTTTAAATGATAGCCTTGCTGGGTAGAGTAGTCTTGGTGGTAGGTCCTTGCATATAACGATTTTGAGTATTTCATTCCAATCTTTCTGGCCTGCAAAGTTACTATAGAGAAATAAGCAGACAGTCTTATGGGAGCTCCCTTGTGGGCAACTAACTGCTTTTCTCTTGTTGCTTTTAACATTCTCTCTTTGTTGTTAACCTTTTGCATTTTCATTATGATGTGTGTCTTGGTGTGGGCCTCTTTGGGTTCATCTTGTTTGGGATTCTGTGCTTCCTGGACTTGTGTATCTTTTTCCTTTACCAGGGTTGGGAAGTTTTCTGTTATTATTTTTTCTAATAGGTTCCCGATCCCTTACTCTCTCTTCTCCTTCTGGGACCCCTATGATGTGGATGTTGTTATGCTTCATGTTGTCCCAAAGGTCCCTTAAACTATCCTCATTTTTTAAAATTATTTTTTTATTTTTGTTGCTCTGGTTGAGTGTTTTTGCCTACCTTGCCTACCTTGATTCAGTTTTCTACTTCATTTAATCTTCTGTTGATTCCTTCTAGTGTATTCTTCATTTCAGATATTGTGTCCTTCATTTCTGACTAGTTTCTATGTCTTTTTTAATGCTTGCTCTCTGGTGAAGTTCTCACTAAGTTCCTTGAGCACCCTTATAACCATTTTATTGAACTCTGTATCTGATAGATTGCTTGCCCTTATGTCTTTTAGCTTCTTTTCTGAAGATTTCTCCTGTTTGTTTTTTTGTTTGTTTAGGGCATTTTCTTTGTCTCCCATTTGGCTGCCTTTCTGTGTATTAGGTAGATCTGCTATGTCTCCCAGTCTTAGTAGAGTGGCCTTATATGTAGTATAAGTATCCTGAGCGACTCAGTGGCACAGACTCCCTGATCACCTGATGCTCCAGGAGCATACCTTGTGTAGGTTATGTATGCCTTCCTTTTGTAGATGAGCTTTGATTGCTGTTGGCATATCTATCAGTGGGAGTGACCCTCCACTGGCTGGTTATGAGGATTGGTCACAGTCAGTGTCTGAGCTGCTCCATGGGGGCTGACCCCATGAAACAGAATTTGCCCCCACAGGGTCTGGTGCTTTCTGGGACCTTCCTTTGGGTGTATCACTTTTGGAGCTAATTGGGTCATGCGCTATTGTAGTTTGAAGACTGCCACCATGTATGTTGCTTCTGGGGCCTATTGGAAGAGACTCTGGTGCAGGTCAATGTTATATGCTGCCTGTGACCAGCTCTGGACTATCTGTTAGGAGCTACAAAGCAATCCACAGTTGGTAGCTCCCTTGCCGGGCCTTGGTGAGGGTAGGAGGGGCCAAGCTTTGTACCAAGGCCAGATGCCACAAGTACAAGGCCTGGGGCAGATCAGCAAAAGGCCCAAGCCACCCTGAGAACTGCCACTGCCTGCCAGCTGCCCGTTCTGCTCAGCCACTGAAAGAGCCTTGGGCAGTACTCTAGTTGCATGTGTTGGGTTCACAGGGAATCACCAGGTAAGGGCAAATGGTGTTCACCAAGTTAATACAGACTCAACTTGGCACCAGTTCTGGATCTAAAGCCATTCAGCAAAAGTCTCAGGGTACACCAGGGACCAGCTGCCACCTGCCTAGGGCCTGTGTACCTTTGCGGTGGGATGGGGTGTCAGGGAGTCATCAGGGTGGAGCCAGTAGAGTTCATCAGGTTAAAGCAGATTAAGAGGGAGGGCTCAACACAGGACAGGTGGCGCCTGTCCAGCATGCAGGAAGACGGCCCTTACTCTGAAGTCACACAACTCAGTTTCTCTCTGTGTGTCTCTGGCACCCAGAATTCCTCAAGTGTTTTTTTAAGAAAGACTGCAATGTGTGCCCCAGCAGAACCTACAACTCTGACCAAGTTGAGTAGCGCAAGGCCTCTGGGAGTCGTCAGGGTGGGACTAGTATAGCTCACTAGGCTAATGCCCTGAGGGGGAAGTGCTTGACCCAGGAGAGACGGCATCTGTGTGCAGTATGGGAGAGGGACTCAACACGGGGTGATTGGTGACTGTCCCTCCAGCCTCTCTCCAAAACCACACGAGTCAGTTTCTCCCTGTGACTCAGGTACCTTCTTAGCTGCTATCCCTCTGCTGGAGCTCCGGGTGAGTGCCTCGGAACAAGAGCTTGTGTGCAAGCCCTTTAGGAATTCGCCTCGGCTTCCAGCAGCCATCCATCTTCCTGGGTAGGAATCCCCATAGATTTTTCACAGCCAGATGTTATGTGGGCTCTTCTTCCCAGCACTTTTGTTCTGGGCTGGGGAGCTCAGCGTGGGATTGAGACCCCTGGCTTCCCAGAGGGACCTCCATAGATGAGATATCCCTCCAGATTCTCAACCACTGCATGTGGGTGCAGGGCCAGCCTATTTCATGCCTCCACCCCTCCTACCAGTCTCATGTGGCTTCTTCTGTAAATCCTTAATTACAAGCCGTCTGTTCAGCTAGTCTTCAGATGGATATTCTGGTTATTCAGGTTGATTGTTCAGTAATTTAGTTGTAATGTTGATGTGGTCATGGGAAGAGGTGAAGAAGGCACAGTTTCCATCCATTATGCCATATTGGACCAGATTTTCTACTGTGACGTTTCCTTAGTGTTAATACCCTCATCTTTATTGTCTACTGTTTTGTTTAAATGAACTGTTATATGATTTACTGTGTACACTTCAAAATATTATTTAAAACATGTTTCGTTTAAAGGGGGCTAGCAGTGACAAAGGGATGTGGCCTTTTTAAAAGCATTTTTTCTTAGTAATATTTAATTCTCTCATTATTCTTCATGTTAGCTTTTGCCTACTTCATCTGGATTACCACCAGGTTGGGAAGAAAAACAAGATGAAAGAGGAAGATCTTATTATGTAGATCACAATTCCAGAACCACTACGTGGACAAAGCCCACTGTACAGGTACCCTCAAATCTATCCCTTAACTTGTTTTCTTACATAAATGAAGCCATCATATTTCTATGGAAGCTATTACTTCACTTTGTGGTATATATTGGATGCTGCTGGCATGTTCTAGTTATTTTCTGACATTGGTGCTAAGTGTCTACTATTTCCTGTGGGTCTCTGATGTGCATGAATTACCACTTGTCATTACGTAAAGCAAGTCCAGTTGGGAATAAGAGGACAAAGTAAATGATCTAGTCCATTGGGTAATTTTGTAATTTGAATGGTTAAGACCTTTATTTAGCTAAAAGATAATCTTAGTAATTTGTATCTATTAAAGAAATTTGTGTTGATGACACATTGTCCTTGACAACAGTGAGTGCTTTTGTAAGTGTTTAGGGAAATATTTATTTTATCTAAATATCATTTCTCTTATTGAGAATAATATAACAGATACCCTTTTCTTTACACCCAGTATTTACCACCATTAACAGATTACTATATTCATTTCTAGACTTTTTATTTTTTAAAATAAAATTTTACAGATAAGAGAAAATTTCTTTTAGCCAAACACTTGGTCCCACTCCCCAGAGAGAACCACCTTTTTGAATTTGTTGTGTATTCTACCCTATTTTATATACTTACAAACAGAGTTAAACAATGCAAAATATTGTTTATGTCCATATGTTTCAAATTTTGCAAAGATGTTGTATTGTATAATTCTGAATCTTTTTTTTGCTCAACATTGTTTTAAAACCTCATCCTTTTTTTTTTAATAGCGATCCAGTGTATTTCTTTTAACTACTGCCTAATATTTCATCAGATGACTATATTCCAATTAGCCATTTCTGTAGTGGATATTTGCCATTCAGTTTTGTCTATCCAGCATTGGAACCCACTTCTATATACATAGAATTCCCCACCTCTTAGTCTTTTGGGTGAGCAGAGACAACCTTCGGCAGTTACACTGTGGCTTCTCTTGCAGCTAGGGCACAGCTTCCTTAGTCACGTGCATCAGCAACAACTTTGTCAACCAGCATCTTACAGCTCAAGAATTAGCTGAGAAATGATAAATTATTTTTAAAAAACAACCACAAAGTTTAACAGAACACTTTATTTTAAAAATGAGCCTCCAATGTTTAGGCTTATTTATACGTGTATATTCTGCCTTCAGGTTGTTACCTTTTTAACTACAGCCATTTGTGTAAACTCTATAAAACATTTCAACGTGATTTAATTAATGTGCTAGGCCACAGTGGAGACCAGTCCGCTGCCAGCAAGCCAGAGTTTTTCTGCAAGCCCTCAACCACAGGTCCCCACAAGTGATTCGGCACAGCAGGTGACTCCGCCGGCTGAAATGGAGCAAGGGTTCCTTCCCAAAGGCTGGGAAGTCCGGCATGCACGAAACGGGAGGCCTTTCTTTATTGACCACAACACCAAAACCACCACCTGGGTAACTTCAATACTCTCCAATTTAAATTTATAACAACAACAATAGTAATCGCTTATGTATAGTTCTTTGTAATCTTTTTAAGTGTACATTAATGTAACCTTCATTTTTTAGTATTCATTTAAAGATATGTTGAAATCATAATAGTATTATGTCTATTCAAGGTATGTTTATGACCATTTTTAGTATTTGGGGGTATTGTCCTGTAGATACATTTACTTCCTATATCCAATTTTAAACTCACTAGTCATAAATGCTTGGGAAGATACTTAGTAATATCTTTGTAGTTTCAAAGTACTTTTGAATCCATACCTCATTTAATATTTAAAAAATAACAACTTGTAAGGCTAAGTAGAATAAGTATTTTTATCTTAAGACAAGGGCTTAAAGTTATTTAGCCATTGGTTCACCACTAATAGAAAAATTACTGAAAATTAGCAGCAAAATAAATAGGTTTGATTAATTAATTTATTTTAAAGACCAGTGTACCTAAAATAATTTAATAAAATATTAAAAATAATTCAAATAGAAGTTCTCTTTTTCAACAATTTGGTTGATTTTAATAACCTATTTGAGCTTGCCACCCTACCTTTCGAAAATATTAATAAATCAACACGTTAACAGGTGCCAAAAAGCATGTTCAGGGCTTCAGAAACAACAAGTAGTCCAGTTTACTGTCCCACTCTTTCACCCAATTTTGTTTAGAGAAGAGTCCTATGTAGCCCTAAGGAATGGGGCAAAATACTCTGAACGGTTTCTGTGAGAGATGATGAGTTAACACAGATCCTACTCTGAAATCTGAGAACTGAATACTGTAGCCTGAAAATGATACTAGATCTTACATGGAGAAACTATTATTTCTCAGATTAAGCAAATGAAATAAAAGAATAGTTTAAGCCTGGATGGTGATAGCTTATCAGGAGGTCACAGTTTCAATTCCCGGTCGGGGACCATGTGTGGGTGGAGGCAGCTGATCAATGATTCTCTTCTCATCATTGATGTTTCTATCTCTCCCTCTCCCTTCCTCTCTGAAATCAATAAAAATGTATTTTTTAAAAGAGAATAATTTAAATATTTATTGGTATTAGAAAACATAGTATCAGATTGACTTTCATGATTTTAAAATTATACTGTTTTCTTCATTTATTCTACCAAAAAAGGAAGATCCAAGACTGAAAATTCCAGCTCATCTGAGAGGAAAGACATCACTAGATTCTTCCAATGACCTTGGACCTTTACCTGTAAGTGTATAGAGCTGCTCCCAATCTACTTGGCTGCATTAAACATTTTGTATTTGGGACTACAGTAGTAGTTCTTTAACAGCTGTAAGTAATATAATTAAAGTGTTGATGCCTTCTACTAAGAATGAAATATGCAAATTAAATTAATCATATAACCAATGGTATTTTTCTACCCATACATCTAAAACCCTTTTTGTAAAATAATTGAAATACATTCTTCATTATAGCCAGGATGGGAAGAAAGAACCCACACAGATGGAAGAATCTTCTACATAAATCACAGTATGTGCAGCGTGTTTTTTCATTACATTATTTCATAATATTGAATTTTGTGCATAAGAATGAAGAATATCTTTTTTCTCTCTCTCTTCAGATATAAAAAGAACACAATGGGAAGATCCTCGGTTGCAGAATGTAGCAATAACTGGACCAGTAAGTCTCTTCGTATCAGTATGTCCTGATGGGATTGTCCTCTCACCTATCTCTTTAAGGATGAATGGTCAAGTGCGTAACCCTACAGGCATTGGGAGGAAAGCATATTTGCCTTTCTCTCCTCTGTCACCACCTCCAGGTCTCAGATATTTCAAAAAAGCACATAAGATTATATCCTTCTCCTGCACAATAGCTTTGGGAGACTAGTAAGCCAGACAGTCAAAATGCTAAGGCAGTGGGCTGCTGTGCTCAGGCTCATACTTGCCACTCTCTGAAAAAGAATGTCAGGCCACAGCAGATCAGAGAGGAATCTAGAGTGTACAGGTGAGGAAGTAGACAGTGCCCTATCCACTCTGGGGCTGCATCTTGAACTTTTTGGTAGAAATTATTATAGATATGAGATATAGATATAGTATAGATCAGGGGTCCTCAAACTTTTTAAACGGGGGGCCAGTTCACTGTCCCTCAGACCATTGGAGGGCCGGACTATAGTTTAAAAAAAAACTATGAACAAATTCCTATGCACACTGCACATATCTTATTTTGAAGTAAAAAAACAAAACGGGAACAAATACAATATTTGTATTTGCATATGGCCCGAGGGCCGTAGTTTGAGGACCCCTGGTATAGATATAGATATAGATATAGATATAGATATAGATATAGATATAGATATAGATATAGATATATGACACACTCATATTTAAATATTGCCATGTATGATTTTTATACTACTCTTGAGTCGGGTTAATAATAGGAAAATTATTATCCTCTTTTATATAGTAAATTTTCCATTTTTTAGTTATTCAGATTTTAATTGTTTTTAATTCACAAAAATAAGTAAAATTAAAGATACAGTTTTTTTAGATTATTTTTTAGTCTCCATGTTTGGTCGTTTAAAATAATGGATAAAAAAGGCAACTCCACAACGTTCAAGGAAAAAGTACATTTTTCAAATTGTTCCCTTAATGGAGAAATCACTTTGAAAGTCTCTTTAGAAATGGAAATTTTCATTTCTAATATTTCTCTTCTTGGAAGAAATTTCCTGTTTCTGGCATGTTGCATTTCAAGAATATTGAATGATGAAAATTACAGCCATAGGAATTGCTGAATATAATTTTATCTTAAACAGAGAAATTTAAAAAGTTTTAAGTTTTGTATTTGTTTTTCTTTAAATTAAACTTTCCTTTCCAAATATTCTCTTTTAATGCCTTTAACTTATGTACATAAAATACGTAGAGGGGAACTTTTAAAATTGTTCCAAAATAAAACAACCTAAACCTTCTTTATTTTTCTACAAATTTCAACTCAAGGCAGTGCCCTACTCCAGGGATTACAAAAGAAAGTATGAGTTCTTCCGAAGAAAGTTGAAGAAGCAGGTTAGTGATACTTATAATGAGTTTTTAAGAATGAATGTTATGTACACTTAAGGTAATGGGAAATGCCTTTTTAAATGGATGAAGGAGATACAAAAAAAAGCGGGGGGGGGAGAAAATAGTAAGAGGATTTGTTCTATATTTGTAACAACTTTAAATAGTTTCCTATAGGGAAAAGATGCTTATTTTTTATATACCTTTAGAGACCACAATTATTTTATGTCTTTATTTTTCAAGATATCCTGTCATCTAGAAAAGTAATATTAAAAGTTTGCGTTTAAAGAACTCTAATGTAGTTTCCTGGTGGGGTTTGTGGGGCTTGGGCTTGGTAGAATCTGAGCAAGAATAGCTCCGAGATTATTCTCCTGGTCTTTGACTGTGTCGGACTCTCTGGATTCCTCTTCCGCTTTGACCATTGTTTTCCAGTGATCGTCATTCATTCTCTACAGTTTCAGTTCTAACAAACTGTATAATTTGAAAGTGCGGCTGTGGTTGGAACAGTGCTCTTGTTGCTTGTCTGCTTGTACTTATCACATCTGTTCACTGCACTTCTTTCCATCATTAAAAATTTAATATGTTTGGAATTAAATTCATCATCTACCCATCTATTTCATTTCTGTTTGGTAATGACCATATTTTTAATACCTTTCTAATTTGCACATTTTTCCCCTTCCCCTGCAGTTTAGGAATACTACCAGTAGGTGGCTATATTGGGTTACATTTTCTTGCATTCTAAGCTAGAGGCCTGCTTTTGCACATTCAAGATCCAACATTTAACAAAAATGAAATATAATAGGTGTTTAGTGAACTATTGTATGCCTAAATAAAATCCTAATATATCAGCAACTTTTTAAACTCATCTTCAATAAAAATGGTTAAAATTGCTTTAGAAATTTGTTTTCTACTTCTTAAAATTCTTTGGGATTTTAAGTTTTTGTTGGTTTATTTGCCTGGTAAATATTTTCAGTCTTAATTAAAAAATGCTGGTGAAATAGGAGGACTAACTTCTCCTTTTGTCACACTGAACACTTATAAACATGTTACGACATCTAATTGTTTAGCAGCAGGAAATATGGAACAAGGCCTTTATAAACAGGTCACAGAACACAGAACTTATAATGAAAGCAGTAATACTTATTGAGCTCTCACTATATACTGGGCAGTCTTCTTAGCAAGTTAAATGTATTACTCATATAATCTCTACAATAAGCAAGGGACTTTTTTGAAATGAATAAAAGTACTTTTAATAATGCATGAGATAATTAAATCATAATGGGTTTTGAAAATCCATGCAACTAAATAACAGTGGGTATAGAATTAAGTGAAAACACATTCATGGGTATTTATAGCCTCTACTCTGCCTAAGAGAGGGTAACAGTAATGGGTTCAACATCAAATTTATAAATTAGAATAAAAAAGCAGAATATACTTAAATCATTTAAAGTTTAAAAAAGCAACAATAAATGAAAGAAGTGATTTTTAAAATTGTGAAATTAAATCTGTTTTAAATTTACTTTGTGAGGAATAATAGACATCTCCTAAAGAAAAAAACACACAAAACACAAACAACTCTTATAAGTGTAAGAGGACTGAAATAACATTTACATCACAATTAACATATAAGAGAAAATTAAAAACTACTATAAACTTTTAGATTTGAAGACTTATTTGAAATAATCAATTTAGACAAATTCCTAGAAAAACATCACTTTCTAAAATTGGCCCAGGATATCAGTTAAATTTGAATATTTCTGGGAAAAGTTTTTTTTAATAGAATTTTTTATATTTCAATTAAAATTGCCGTACAATATTATATTTGTTTTAGATGTACACCCCAGTAATTAGACATTATATAACTTACTAAGTGATTATCCTAATAAATCTTGTACTCATTTGACACCATACATAGTTATTAGAATATTATTGACTATATTCTCTATGCTGTACTTTATATCCTCATGACTATTCTGTAACTACCAATTTATACTTCTTAATCCCTTCACCTTTTCTACCCATCCTCCCAACATCCCTCCCATCTGGTCCCTCCCGTTCTCTGTTCTGAGTTTGTTTCTATTCTGCTTGTTCATCTATTTTGTTTTTGAATTCAGTTGTTGATAGGTATGTATTTATTGCCATTTTATTGTTCATATTTTCTCCTCTTCCTCCTCTTCCTCCTCCTCCTCCTCCTCCTCCTCCACCTCCTCCTTCTTCTCCTTCAAAAAGACCCTTTAACATTTCATGTAGCACTGGTTTGGTGGTGATGAACTCCTTTAAATGTTTCTTGTCTGGGAAGCTCTTTATATGCCAGGGAGGGACTGTTATCACATTTTACAGGTGAGGAAACTGAGGCACCAAGAGATTAGATAATGTGATCAAGTTCCATGGTTGTTAGTGGCAAAGCTCCAGAGTTCATGTTCTTAACCATCGTGACATATATTGGTGATTAAGAGAGAAAATTTGTGAGGAAATTATCCACATTGCAACAAAGGTATATTAAGAGTTAAAAGCATGAGTGAACGGTAAGAAACAAGGTGTCATTCCCGAAGTATGGCACAGGAGGCTAAGAATCTGACTTCCCCCACCCTCCTCCGTTTAACAAAAAATCGCAGGCATGATTTAAACAATGAAATCCCTATCTGGACACATCACTCCAAAAGAGCAGAACACCAAGACAGAGATGAAAAATTAAAAACCAATGCTACAAAGCCTTGAGCTACCTTTGAGCTTGACTCTGCCTTATCCTTAACAATGTAGCACATTCTTTAAGAGCTGAGACCCAGGAGCTATGCCTTTCTTAACTTCTGTCTTCAGTTTCTTCATCCGTAAGATGGAGATATAATAGTAGCTTCTTCATAGTGCTGTTATGGGTGTAATCGCATTAACCCATTAAAATGGGGAACAGTGCCTCTCACAGTCTGTAAATATTAATACCTATTAAAGAGTGAATGAGACAGACTCCAAGGAGGAATGGTGGGAGCAGGGAAAATCCCTGAACTGACAGGCAGGCAACAAGTAGCAGGCAGCAGCTACATTATTAGGTCACAGGTGGGTCTTCATTGGAACTTAATATGCAAAGGACTATTCCTGATACACCTTCGCCTGAGCGTTACTGCCACCATCGGTAGCTTCTTCTTCAGATATAAAGACCTGAAGTCTGTGTTATTAAGTGATTAGAGAAGACACATGGATTCTATCATACCATAGAGGAAATATTCCTAGTCATGCTTTCCCTGAAAAGGGGTCTTGGCACCAGGTAGAATACAATGAATTGTATAAGCTTCCTGAGAGAGAAATTTGCTGTTGTGTTGAATTGATTTAAACCAGAAGTCTCTCTTCTCTGGGCTTTCAGAATGACATTCCAAACAAGTTAGAAATGAAACTTCGCCGAGCAACTGTTCTCGAGGACTCTTACAGGAGGATTATGGGTGTCAAGAGAGCGGACTTCCTCAAGGCTCGACTCTGGATTGAGTTTGATGGTGAAAAAGGATTAGATTACGGAGGAGTCGCCAGAGAGTGGTTCTTCCTGATCTCGAAGGAAATGTTTAACCCTTATTACGGGTTGTTTGAATATTCTGCTACGTAAGCACCTTTACAGTGACCGTATACAGGCAAAGACATCACTGTCCTAAAAGTGACAGAGTTGTATGGTGCAAGGAAAATGTGTGGTTCACTGTGCCAGAAGGAAGAGGAGCACTAATGTTGTTTCAAAAATAACTTTTTAAATTGTGGCAAAATACACTTAACATAAAATTTACCATTTTAACCATTTTAAAGTGAGTGTACAGTTCATGGCATTAAGTACTCTCACATCATTGTGCAAGCATCAGCACCATCCATCTCTAGAACTTTGCCATCATCCCAAACTGAAACTCCACACCCATTCAACGCTAACCCTCCCAGGCCCTGGCAGCCTCCACTTTACGTTCTGTCTCTGTGAATGTGTCAACTTTAGGCACCTCATATATGTGGAATCATACAGCATTGTCTTTTTGTGACTGACTTAATTCATTAGCATAATGCCTTCAAAGTTTATCTGTATTGTAGAATGTGTCAGAATGTCCTTCCTTTTGAAGGCTAAATAATATCCCATTATGCTATATAGAGGCCCAGTGAACGAAATTTGTGCATGGCTAGGGTCACTAGCGGTTGCTGGCTGCCAGCCAGGGCCTTCCTTCATTCTGCGCCACCCCTTGGTGGTCAGCGCACGTCATAGAGAGCGATCAAACTCCGGAGGGGACACTTTGCATATTAGGCTTTTATATATAGAGATACCACATTTTGTTTCTCCATTTATCTTTCAATGAACATTTGGGTTATTGCTCCCTTTTGACAGAAATTACTGTTTTGAAAACCATTAAATCCAGAGGTTTAATATGGTTCTAAAAGAGGTAAACAACTTATTGGTCATATTTAAATTTTTATGTGAAATATAGAGAGGAGCATTTAAATGTGGTTGTCTTTGCAGGGATAATTATACCCTACAGATAAATCCAAATTCTGGATTGTGTAATGAAGATCACCTCTCCTACTTCAAGTTTATTGGCCGGGTAGCTGGAATGGCAGTTTATCATGGCAAACTATTGGATGGTTAGTATTCAGCTTAAAACTTTCTTATATGTGATTATAATTATTTTATTATAATGTAATTATAATGTGATGATCTGATTTCTTTCGCTTGGTAATCATTTTAAAAATATTTGCTTTCTTGCAAGGTTTTTTCATCCGCCCATTTTACAAGATGATGCTACACAAACCAATAACACTTCATGATATGGAATCAGTGGTATGTCATTTTCACTTACAATATATAGAGAGAATAATTTAACCGGCAACTGAATATTTTAAAGAGTTAGCTTTTAAAGATGAAGAAATAATAGATTATAATGTTCCAAAATATAAATGAACATTTCCCCCAACATTTTATTATGAAAAACTTCTAACATATAATAAGATAAAAAGATTTTACAGTGGACATGTGTATAGCCACTATCCAGATTCCACTACTGGCTTTTTATCTATACTTACTTATCACATACCTATTCACCTATTCACCCCTCTATCCATCAATCCATTTTATTTTTCTGATGCATTTCAAAGAAAGTTCCAGATATCAGTAAACTCCCTAAATACTTCAGCATGCTGAACAACATTTTAATGTATTTCTCGCATCAACATTTGAATTGTGATCATTTATCATGAATGGCATATGTTTTCAAAATATCAGTTCAAAGGCAAGACCTTGAGATTAGGCCACTACAAAGAAACAGAAACGTAAGGATTAAATTCCTCACTATGGCCCATGCTGAATAGCCTCAAACACTGTGTGCACACAGGTTCCAAGACCTCTTCCTCGGCACCAAGTTCACTTTATGTCCCCTTTCTGTGACACAATATCAGTGTGAACAGTATAATTCTTTACAAATCATAAGGTTGTACAGTTACTTGAGTTGGTTAATTGAGGTTCTGTATTTGAGGCTATTCTTTAGCTTGGGCCAGGTATAAATAGCAGCCTCCTCACTGCTACTTAAACAGTACACACGCAGTCTCACAGGCCACGTAAGAAAGGTGCTATGTGCTCCTGGGTAGCCATGGAAGTTACGATTCATCTGAAAGCTGCTTTATTGACCTTTAACTGGCTAATAAAATTTTTACCTCCACTGCTTCCACACAGAGATAAAGTTCTAAACTTTTAAGCAGGCCCCACTCTATTGATGTATATATTTTTTACTCTCACACGTACTAGTCATCCATCTCTAGCTATATAAATAAGAGGGTAACATGCTAAGTGTCCGTCCGGGTAATGACATCACGTAGCACCACCCGGCTTCCTCTCCCTAGCAACTAGACTCCTTGCAGTTTCTTCAGCCCAGGAACACGACTTGCTTTATAGCCAGGTGGAAACATTTTACACTTTAAACAAATGTCTGTGAAGTATTTTCCCATGCCTCATCTCATTTGATCCTCACAGAAGTCCTGGAGTAGGTAGATAGGAGACTTGGAATCCTATTTTCTTTCCATTTGCTGGAAAATGGAGATTTAGAAAGCTTAGAAACTTGATCCAACTGAAAAGAAGAAATGGTGGACCTTGAAAATAACTTCAGGTTTTTTCACTGCGCAGAATATAGTCAAACACTGCTGCAGTTAAATATTTTACCCTTTGTTCTCCCTGTGTGATCTACAATAATAATCTGCTTCATGTTGATATTTACTGCTGTGCTGCTGACAATTACCTGAAAGAGAAGTTGGGGTGCTTCACTGGGCTGGAAAAAGCTTAGCTAAACCAGAAAGCAGGTCTAATTAAGCAAGTTTATTCTATGTCTATAAAAGGCTAAGTTGACTCGCACATGCACGATACATATAAAGCTCTTGCTGGCGCCAATCGCATGCGTGTGTTTCGATCTGTCATTGTCAATTGTGAATATGGTTGACACTTCTATTAGAGAAAGGGTGAATAGTGATATTAAAATATTTCTTCTAATTAATTTCCTTTCAATGTGCATGAATTTGTGCACCGGGCCACTAGTCTATAATACTTGTGAATGTATGGAAAAGGTGTCCAATGACTTTTTCACCTTTGGTCCCATTATTCCTTCAGACTCTCAGTATACTTCCTTTGCAGGTGCAGGTGTCTTCTTTTTATATGTATACAAATGTTAAATATGTAATTTTCCCCATCTAGGATAGTGAATATTACAATTCACTAAGATGGATTCTTGAAAATGATCCAACAGAACTGGACCTCAGGTTTGTCATAGATGAAGAACTTTTTGGACAGGTTTGTAAACTTTGATGAATTAAAATGGTACATGAATTAATGATACAAATGTTATAACAAGTTTAGACATTAAATAATGTATATACTCAAAACATTTCTGTGCTCTATTTTAAATTTATTTTCCAGTAACAAAAGCTGTCTCTCAGCAAGAATTTCTGCTTTCTTTGACATTTGACTCATTCCGTATTTGTTTTAGTAAAACTAATATTTTAAGTTTTGAATGGATTTAATTTAAAACACCAGGTTTCTGGTGTAACTATAATATGTATATATTTTTTTTTCACTAAACTAACATATGAAGGTGTCATGCTTTATTTTAGACACATCAGCATGAGTTGAAAGTTGGTGGATCAGAAATAGTTGTCACCAATAAGAACAAAAAGGAATATATTTAGTAAGTATTTCGTTAGTGTTTTGCCATACTTAGTAAATACTTTGTTGGAAATAATTTTGTACTTCTTTTCAGAAAGACTCTTTGTCGTTCTCTCTCTTTCCCAGTAGCTGGAGTCACGATGTCACTTTCTCTCTCTTTAACAATGCCGTATCTCCCACTCAGATTCAGGGTTTACCTGGGGCTTAGCTAGTCTTTATTTTTTGTTTGTTTCTACAAAGGATAAATATACCTTGAATTTTTTTCTTAATTTGTGTGAAAAAGACAGACTTTTTTGTTTCTTTTAGCCTTGTAATACAATGGCGATTTGTGAATCGAATCCAGAAGCAAATGGCTGCTTTTAAAGAGGTACTCATCTTCTTTTGTTTGCTCTTCTGTAATTGCAAAGTATAATCCATAAACTGTAAATATTGGGGCTTCTCATATCCGAGAAAAATTAGCACGTGACTTCCCAATTTAATTACATTTTTATATTAACAAAATACTCAGTCATTCAAGAGGTCCATGCAGTAAACCTTGACAGTCCCCCCTCCCATTGCCCTTACCTTCCCCAGTCCCACACCTTTCACCTTCAGTGACCTTAGTGAACAAAGGAACAAGAGTGCTGTAAGAATAGTGGGATATGCCATTTGTTTCTTTTCCTGTATGGGATCACACTATACATGTTGGTTTGTGACTTGTTTTCTTATCAGATATTTATTGGAGATCTTACCATGTCAAGAGATATAGCTGTCATTTTTCATGGCTGCATTTTGTTCATAATATTAATTCTTAAGTTATTTAAACTTCCCCCAACTGATAGACATTTGGGCTATTATCAGGGCATTCATTTCTTAAGCTAACTTAAAATTTCCTGTTAAATATTTTTTACATACTTTTTCTTTTATTCAATATTGAGCACTGTCTGGTGCTACATCAGGCAAAAAGACATAAGCCGTACTATCAGGGAGCAGAGAATCTAAAACTTGAAATGGACAGACGCAAGCCTGAAGTGCTAGGGAAGCCCAGAAGAGAGGGAGAGACCAGAGTGGGGAGAGTGGAGGTGGGGCAGGGAAGGACTAGAGCAGTGGTTCTCAACCTTCTGGTTGAGAATGCAGTTCCTCATGTTGTGACCCAACCATAAAATTATTTTCGTTGCTACTTCTTAACTGTAATGTTGCTACTGTTATGAATCGTAATGTAAATATCTGATATGCAGGATGGTCTTAGGCGACCCCTGTGAAAGGGTCGTTCGACCGCCAAAGGGGTCGCAACCCACAGGTTGAGAACCACTGGACTAGAGGGATTGGCCAGACACAGAAAGGAGGGAAATGCAGTTCTGAGAGAGCAGCAATTGAGACCAACTACAGACACATTAGACAGCAGACAAGCAATTCCAATCCTGGAAAAGAGGATGCAAAAGGTAAAACTAAACCTGGAGAGCTAGCCAAAAAACAGATTGTAAAGGGCCTGTTTGTTAGTTTTCTCGGAAGTCCAGTGAGAGGAAGGGAAGTGGTATTAAGATGCAATGTACACTTTAGTCAGACCATTCTGGAAATGATATGCAGTGAATTAGAAGAGGAATGGTCTAGTTGGGAAAGAGCTATAGAATCCAGGTGAAGAATGGATTAGGAACCAAGAAAGTGGTGCTGTGGGTGCATCTGAATGGTCTTCAGGAGGGGAGATCCACAGCATAGGGTGACTAAAGGATGGGTAATTGGGGTGGCAGTATGGATTTGGGAATCGTCTGTGAATGTGTAGTGGAGCTGTGGACCAGATCAGATGGAAAATTCAAAAGAACAGGGAGGTGAAAGAGGCTGGCCACTTGTGGAAACCTGGGAACACCAACATTTAAAGGATGGACAGTGAGAAAAGGAGCCTTCAGAGGAATTAGCAAAGGCAGACAGAGACATAAGAGCAAAACCATCAACAGCAAAGTTTCAAGAACAAAGATGTTTTCAACAATATACTGCAGAGAAGTCAAATAAGACATGGAATTAGAAAGTGTTCATTAGATGTAGCCGCAAAGTTGCTTTGACTTTTTCCCAGGACAGCTTCGGGGAAGCAGTGGCATAGAGGTCAGATTGCAGTGGGTTGAGGGAAAGACAGGAGGTGAACAAGTAGATCTGATAACATATAACACTGTCAAGAACGTGGCTGTGAAGAGAAGAAAAGGGTGTTTGCTCTTTGGTTTTGTTTTTAATGTAGATATGACTAGAGTGCACTTAAATGCATGAAGAGTAAGCTGGTAAGAGAAGGAGGTTTAGTGCGGTGACCTTGAGGAAGCAGGTGAAGCACAGAGAGGGAGTGGTACCTCCCTCCACTGCAGTGGGAAGGAGGCCGTGGTGGATGTTGGTGCTGGTTGTACATGGGGAGGTGGAAGGTTGAGTGAATTCCATCCTGCATAATTGCCTCTATGGCTCTCTCACATAGAAATTATCTCCTGTAAAGAAGGGGTGACATTGAGGAGGGGGGCTTGAGGAGTACAGGGAAGCTTTAAAATTGCCACTTCGAGGAATCTCTGAGAGAACAGACTAGGGACACATAGCTTCTTGCCAATATTGAAATCCCGGTTGAGTTTAGAGTTGGGTTATTGTCAGGGCACTCATTTTTTAAGCTAACTTAAAATCTTCTGTTAAATATTTATCACATATTTTTTCATTTATTCAATATTGAACACTGACGATGTGTCTTGTGCTGTGTCCGGCAAAAAAGCATAGCTGTCAGGAAGCAGAGTATCTAAAACGTGAAATAGACAGATACGAGCACGAATGTGTAATGGTAGATCTGTGTGGATGTGGGGTTGCTCCAGAAGCACCCAGGAGCTCAAGTAGAGGATTGCCCATTGACCCTGCTAACCAGGTTTTTAAATCCATTCTTTCTTCTAGGGATTTTTTGAACTAATACCACAGGATCTCATCAAAATTTTCGATGAAAATGAGCTCGAGGTAAGAAACATTTTTACGTTAAAATGGAACTTTGGTGCTCGTTGTTTTTCTCACCAACAGTTTGACATTTCTGATTATGTAGCTTCTTATGTGTGGGTTGGGAGATGTCGATGTGAACGACTGGAGAGAACACACCAAGTACAAAAATGGCTACAGCGTCAATCATCAAGTCATCCAGTGGTTTTGGAAGGTAATCAAGAGCTTCTGTTTCCATAAATTACTTTCGATAGATTCGATCATATTTAACTATACTAGCTACTTTCTCACACATAAGACAGAATATAGCCCAGCAAAAGATATCTTTGATTTCGTACTATATACCTCTGCCTTCTGGGTATGGTCCGAACCTCCATCCACATTAGTAGATACTATTAAGTAAGTAAAATGTTCAGAATCTAGCAAATGGCAGTGACAGCTAAAATAGGCACTTAGTTTCTTATTGAAGAAGGGACTCTTCCAGAGAACCTGTAATAAACTGCAGTGTATTGTCTAGGACTCCTACGTGGCTCCTTTTAATGTGATTTTCAGTCGTATGGAGAAATTTGTATACCACTCAATAAGTATAATTTTTTAAAAACCACGACTCACATCGGAGAAGAAATTTTTGTCACTTTATTAGGCTTACTCTCTTATAAGCCTTGGAAATAAGGTTTTCAAGAACTTTGTAAACGACCCATAAACACAAGTTTAACTAAAAGGAACATGCAGATTTACTAAGTGGTCAGTAATGCTCTAAATTCAGACAGCATACTTTTCAGGATAGTTTTGGTGCCTTTTCCCCAATGATAGTCCTAAATGCTGTTTTTATGTTATTCAGGCTGTTTTAATGATGGATTCAGAAAAAAGAATAAGATTACTTCAGTTCGTCACTGGCACGTCTCGAGTGCCTATGAATGGATTTGCCGAACTATATGGTAAGGGTTTTCCATCAGCATTTAAAAATGGGGCAATGCCAGTTGTCTTTGTCATGGCTGATTAGTCTTCAAGCCTCTGTCATTCACACAGACGTTTAGCTTAATAAAAAAGATTTTTAAATGATTTAATTAGATACACTCAAGTAGGCCAAAATATATGTACACCTTCTAGCAAAGGAGAAAACTGGGACATGAAATGACTTGAGTTACTTTCCCTCCTTGAATTTTAAATTTCTCCTTCCAATACAGAAAGAGCGTTGCCTGTAGTGTGAGTTTAGGACAAGTTCCACAGAGTGTTAGTAAGTGTGCAACAAACAGCAAAGAGTGTCATAGAAGAATACATATGGGGAAATACTGGACTAAACAAAGTTAAACTGGTTCCTTTGGGTCTTCTTCAGAGCCTTTACTGTGGGGGATGGAATCCTTGGGGCACAGGGGGGGCGGGGCAGGATTTGGAGGGTGGAGAGTCTCGTTAGGCTACTATTTCTCAGCCCTGTGGGATATGGGGACTGGGGATAAGAGTGCACCTATCTCTTGCTATTCAGAATAACTATTCATTCAGTTTTCTATAAAGTGAAATTCTGTGCTTTTTTTTAAATCCTCACCCGAGGATATTTTCCCATTGATTTTTAGAGAGAGTGGAAGGGGGAGAGGAAAGAGAGAGAGAGAGAAATATCGATGTCTTACATTGATCGGTTGCCTCCCACAAGCACCCCGGCCAGGGCAGAGGATAGAGCCTACAACCAAGGTACATGCTCTTGACTGGAATCAAACCCAGGACCCTTTAGTTCACAGGCCAGTGCTCTATCCACTGAGCAAAACTGGCCAGGGCTAAAGTGAAATTCTATATAGCCTATCAAACTATTTTCTGGTTTATTAACCTCATAGCTCTAGAGGTGTGTTTTGTTATAAAAAAAAAAAGAAGAGGAGGAGGAGGAGGAAAGAAAGAAAGAAGAAAGAAGGGAAAAGAAGTACTGTTTCTGATATAGAGCACAGCAATTTGTCTCATATCTTAACATATTGTTTATTGGAATTACATTTATTTGCTTTTAAAGATACCACGGCTGGCCAGGTAGCTCAGTTGATTAGAATGTCGTCCCAATACACCAAGGTTGTGGGTTCGATCCCCAGTCAGGGCACATGCAAGAGTCAACCAATGAGTGCGTGGATAGGTGGAACAAGAAATCAGTGTTTCTCTCTCTCTCTCTCTCTCTCTCTCTCTCTCTCTCTCTCTCTCTTTCACTAAATAAATACAGCAAGCAAGAAGAACAAGTCATTCAGAGAAAGTATTGCCAAGAGTGGAGCCCCACTCAGAGCAACAAAGATTAGACTTGTTCAGGGAAGGGGAAGTCGGGGACTGCTGCCTAGGTCAGTGATGGCGAACCTATGACATGCATGTCAGAGGTGACACGCGAACTCATTTTTTTGGTTGATTTTTCTTTGTTAAATGGCATTTAAATATATAAAATATCAAAAATATAAGTCTTTGTTTTACTATGGTTGCAAATATCAAAAAATTTCTATATGTGACACGGCACCAGAGTTAAGTTAGGGTTTTTCAAAATGCTGACACGCCGAGTTCAAAAGGTTCGCCATCACTGGTCTCGAATAACCATCCACAGTGAGAAGAATGAGAGGGAGCTTTGCCGCGAGTCAGTGTGCTCATTCCCTGCCTCATTGGATTTCTTGGCATTTGTCTTCCTGGTGTTTTCACCTGACTCCCTTTCCTGCCTCTCCTGCTCTGCTGTAGCCATTCTGTAGAGAAAATCATGGCAAACACCTTTTTTATCTCTACCTCCACTTCCCTCTTCTCTGCATCCAGGCCTACAGGCATCCACTGCTTTCACAAACTTTGGAATTTGGGGGAAATATCCCACACACAGCCAGAGATGTATTAGAATATAAATTCAAGTTATTTTGTATTTACAAAGGACGATGTTGCTACAAAATATTAATATTACTGTGTGATATTACCTAGCCAATGAAAAGTATGATGTTGAGTGTATATAGATTGACTTAGGAGTCTTCCCAATGGGTTGTTCAGGTGAGAGAATCAAGAGGCTGGGAAATAGATAAGACTTCATATTCTGGAAAACAAATGATGACAGAAGCACTGACGTGTTAACTGTGAACGTAATTGTGAAGTGTGAAAAGTAATGCTTTTTGAGAAAACAGGATGGAGAAAAGTATGGAAGGTTACATGTTGGGTTGTCAGCATTGATTACCTGGGTGGCTGGAGGATGTTCAGGACTAGAGGAGGAAGAGCTAAGTGAAAACACCAAAGGGAAAAAAAGTTTCTAGAAATATCCATAATAGAAGGAAAATGTAGCATGTGTAATGTAATCATTCTATTTATATGCACATGCACAAAAGATTCATGATGGGATGTTTATTCAGATTTAATAGTGGAATTTGAGGTAATTTTTACATCATATTTTTCTTGATTTAATTTTTGCAGTAAATTTTATAATCAGAAAAATTAAAGCTGTTTCCAGTGGGACACCTAAAAAAAAAGAAAATGCTCGTTTTCTCTGTGTGCCTGTGAAGGAGGCGGTCTACAGAAGTACAGGGTGCCCTGGCCGGTGTGGCTCCGTTGGTTGGGCTTCGTCCTGTGCACTGAAAGGTGCCTCTTTGATTCCTGGTCAGGGCACCTGTCTGGTTGCAGGCTCCATCCCTGATAGGGGTGTGCAGGGGGCAGCCGATTGATGTTCCACTCTCACATCAGTGTTTCCCCTCCTTCTCCCTTCCTCTCTCTCTCAAATTCAATTTAAAAATCTTTTTTAAAAAGGAGGAAAAAAAAGAAATGCGGGACTAGGAAACAGCAAAAGCACCTTGGGACATCTCACCGCAGGGGCAGAGTGATTCAGTGGAAAAGGAGTCCTCATTCCATGGCTGGGCAATAAAACCTTCAAGCATAGGACAGCCTTCATTTCTTTTGAGTTTTAAAAAAACTAGATGAGTTCTCTGTGTGTTTAAGTTTTACAATAGAAAACGTGAGTTGTTAAATGCCTAGGGTTTCCTGTAAAGAGTAAATGAAACCAAAGCAACTCTTCTTCCTTATAGGCTCAAATGGACCACAGTCTTTTACAGTTGAACAGTGGGGTACCCCTGAAAAGCTGCCAAGAGCCCATACGTGGTAAGCAGATTCTTACACTCTGAGAGAACAAGTTCTCCAAGAGCAAAGTTCTTTGGGTAAAGAAGGCCCCTCTGTGCTATGGAGGAGGAGGGGCGGGGGAAGGAAGGGAGGAGGAGGAAGGGGAAGAGGAGGAGGAGGAAGAAGAGGAGGCAGCAACACCAACCCAAGGTAGGTTGGAGCTTGAAGTCCAGGGAGCTGCACATTGGAGATGCAACGTCAACTGTTGACCCTGTGTTGCCTCCATCGCATGAATGATGGGTCATGCCGAGAGGGTAGGACATTGACTTTTGGAAGTTAAAGTGACAGAGGAACCCAGACATTGGTGCTCGGGGGGGGGGGGGGGGGGGGGGGGGGACAAAAGTAGGTTTAGAGTTGTAATACAACCCCCCCAGGGATGACACGTCTTTTATACTCGCTTTGTCAGTGCCTGTCATAACCAGTTCCTCTCTGTTTTTCAGCTTTAATCGACTGGACTTGCCACCCTATGAATCATTTGAAGAATTATGGGATAAACTTCAGGTGGCAATTGAGAACACTCAGGGTTTTGATGGAGTTGATTAGATTACAAGTCACAATCTAGGGTGTTTTACTGCCACGTTTTTATAAGCAACATCTTGACTTAAAATTTTCCGGGGAACTACTAAAACTTAGCCATTGATTCTTCCCAGATATTGGAGAAAATCACATAAATGCTTTAGGAGAAATAGTGTGACGACTTTACCAGTATTTCATCCCCTTTAAAAGAATGTGTTGCATTTACACAGTGGTTTCATTCTATCTTTAGAGTTCACACTCCAGGACCTAAGTCCTTTGTGCCTGAAATAGTGAATGTGTCCTTAACATTTACCTCTTGTCCAGTATTCACCAGGCAGTCCTTCCTTAAACTACTGAGATGATAACTGTGAAATATTTGTGATAAGTGTCATGTGTGAAGAGTTCGATGCTTTTTGAGAAGGAAAACCCACATTTGGAAAAGGAGACTTAAATATTGAGTGAACTACACTATATTTAGTGCTGCCTACAGTTATTTATTACTCTGTAGACCTGTCTAATGCACCTTACTGCCCAGATTTTTGGAACAACCTTGGAAAGTGTGTTACTATATTTTTAGTCAACTGACTCACTGGCAATAACAAGAACAAAAATTGTTTACTTCTTCATTTTAAAAGTATTTGGTTTTTGTTAATATGTGGTTTTGCTCAACAAAGTGGTGTATAAGACGTGAAGCAAATTCAGATTTGCAGAGGGTGGAAAGTATTAACACCCTCCTCTTGCCGCCATATCCTTATGGTTCATCGGAGTAGTCATCACTCTCATGTTGTAGTTTAGTTCAAAGAATTCCTTCTTCCCACAGTGAGCTAAAGCTCCACAAAGCAGTATTTCTAAGTATGTCTCGAAGAGCTAAGTTCAATGTATAGTACTTGCCTTTACTAGACATTCTTTACACTTGCACAATTATGTAGTAACTCTATGTTTACAGGGTTTATTATGTTTACACATGAAGCTAATTCCTGTAGTTGCCCTTTTATATTTTTAGTATGTCACTTTAGTCATAAAACCAAATAATTTGTTAAAAAGTAACCAAAGAATAGCTATAATACATAATTTGTATTAAATTTATTACCACATTTCTTATGCTTTTTAAAAAAATATACTGTTTACTTTGAAAGTGATGATGTTTTGCTATAACTCCCAAACTCTTTAGCAAAATGTTACAGATAGAATCCTACTTGAATCAAATTCAAGTACCTGAAAACCACCTCCATCCAACAAACGTGTATTAAATGTCTGCTGTGCACATAGCACTGTGCGAGGCCCTGGGTGAGAGTCATCAGCTCCCAAGAAATCTAGCTCAGCCCTCATCCACAGGGAACTTACCAGCGTGTGAAAGCGTTTTTAAACCATCAGCGTAGGGGTGAGCAGAACAAGGCGAAAGGGAACGTGTCTCAGTGTGCCGGCCAGGTAGTGCGCCAAGACTGTGTTTCTATTGGAATGATGCTATAGAAAACGCTCTTGCGAAAAGTTAAACCTGTTTCTCAGTATGGTATCTTGGGGATTTAGGAATCATTGTAAATATCATATAAGTGTTATGAATCCTCTTAAATACGTATATGTACATATCCTCTGAGAGTTGTAAGAAGTGCTTCTGGCTATTGGTTTACGTTGGTTGGTATAATAAGATGGTTACCTGCTGGCCCCTGCTAGAGATCTCGCACGTGACAGTAGCAAAACCACTTTCCAAACAGCTCAGCTTCGGGGAAGGAACTCACAGAGCGCTGCACTCTGTGTTTCATCTCCACTTGGGCGAACCAGCGTTCAGGCAAGATCAGCAGGCAGGTGTAGTCCGTAATTTTATCACTCACCTGCTGTTTAAACTGAAGCAACTTATTCAGCCTCTCCGGGCCCCCTGTTTCGTCACCTGTCAAATGGGAATCGTCGTGCCCACCCTCGGCGCCACGTCAGATGGCTGTTTCGGAGAGGTGTCTTGTAAAGTATTCTACAGAAGAGGCTTTGTGTCGGCCATCAGATTTTGTCAAATCAGGCGTGGACACTAACTATACTCCCAAAGAAGAATCTCTTTATTTAAAAATAAACGGACTGCTAATAGACAAGGAAGTAAGAAGATCTCTGATACCGAATACATACACACATACATGCATACATATGTTTAACGATGCATGGGTCTCACCATCAGAATCCATTGTCTCCACGTCAGCAACGTTAATTAACATGGGCCAGTAAATTTTGGAATGTTCTCATTATCTAGAACTGAATGTGAAAACTAGTTTTGTTCAGACAGAATTTTACCACCTGAGTGCTTAAATGTCACTTCTGTAAAATACCATAGCCGATATCAGAGCTTGAGAAAATATAAAGCTCGCTGTTCATCTGATGTTCATTTGGATGATCCTGTAATAAGACCAGGGTGTTAATAAGACCAGACTCACTCCCATCAGCCCCCAGCCACAGGCCATCATCCCTCTTTTCTCCCAGCGGTGGGCCGACAGTCTGGGAGGAACCTGTATCCAGCAGCACAGACAGAACAGCATCTCTCATACATCCTATGGCTGGAGAGTAGATAGGGTCATTTTCTTAAAGCAAGGAGATCATATTTTTCTAGAAATGATAAGCACACAATTTTAGCCTATATTTTCTCTGTAATCAAACAAATTTTAACATCGACATAAAATTGTGTTACAAATGCATTTCCTCCTAACTGAAATTTAAATGCTATTTGTTTTCATTCTTTATTTATAATACTAAAATTATTCCATATAATTATTAAGTTAAACACAATTTGTCTGATTCTAAGCCATTTGACCTTGTTTTTAAAAATCCAATATGGTAAATCTATATATATCAAGATTAGTGTATCAACATTTATTGAATACTTTAAAGTATAAAATCATTTTTTAAAGATCTTGATGCCTCAAATAAAGTTCTATTCTCATTAAAAAAACAAAAAAACAAAACTGTGATTCCTTTTAAATAGAAATGCCTCCAAGCCAGTGTTCTGGGTGACGTCTCCTGGCCTAGTTCTTTGCAGCAACACAGATGGGACAATTCTCGAGACAATTCTGCGTTTATATCTGATGAACTAACATCATTACATATTATACACTATTAACCATAGGTAGTCTCCACTTTACAAGCAGGTCCTGTTCCAAAAGTCTGATTGTTAGTGAGATATCCAGAAGACAAAATAATAAAGTTACAGATGGACTGGATTTCAGGCACTGCCTGCTGGTCATTAAAAAGGCCAGCCTTTAACCTAACCGTTGTCGACAACATCGTTTCTAGGAGAAAAGGAGTTCTGAGAGTTAATTCAGAACTGAGGATCTTTGCCTCCTTCATCTTGGGCACCTGGAAGTTTCCCAGCTAGAAAGGAATCCACTCCCCTCCCTGCGCCAGCCAGCCGTTTGTTTCTGCTAAAATCCAGAGATTCCTTGGGACTCAGGCCACCGCCTTCTCTGCTTCCACCCCTCTCCTCCGGTGCTAACCAGCTCAAGCATTGGCTAGCCCACACCATTCATCACCTAAAAACGAAGGGCTTCCGTAGCTTTTCGTTTTTGAAAGTTAAAGATGATCACTGCATTAGCACCGCGTGTAGGTGCTGCCAGTCTCTTCTCCTGCACTCTGTTCCGTGCAGTCCCTCCAGCCCCCGCCAGTGTTCCTTTCAGGTCAACAAATCTGATCAGGTTACTGTACAGTCAGAACACCTCTGGGAGCCCCTCAGAGCCAGAAACATGAAGCAGCCCAAACCTGTTGGCATGAAGTGCAGTCTGTCCTCTCTGAGTTCCACCTTCTATCATCCTCACTCGGGCACTGGTGCTCCACCCGAACCAGCCCCTCTCCAGCCCCTAATCATCTCAGTGTCCGGTGCCTGCTTTCATCCCTCACTTGAGAAATCACTCCTTTTGGGCCAGTGGAAAGGGGCTGTTTGATATTTACTTGCATGAATGGCATTTCAATGGTATTGCAGTTCTTTTTTTACATAATTGACTCCCACACCCTTTTGGGTAGCTTGAGAACAAAGACTACTTTGTCTACATCTTTTTAATATGTTCATTTACCAACACATAAATATTTGATAAATTGACGATCTGATGAGTACTGTTTGTGTATACAATCCATTCAATGCACATGTTCTGAGCACCAGTGTCCCCAGCCCTGTACAACATGCAGGAAGTTCCGTGTTTAGGGGGACATCGGGGTCTAAATAAATACACACAGAGAGAGAGCTTGATTGAGATCCTGCTGAGAGCCCGGGTCTGCAGTAAACATTTAAGTGTATCCCATTTAATCTTCATGAAAACTCAGCGAGGCAGGTTTTATAGGCTCAAGAAGGGCAAGTAATTCACCTGAGGCAACCCAGCTTGCACACTCAGTGGATTATGAACTACGACAACAACAAAAACTATGGAACCCTACAAACAAATTATCAAGGTGTACTAGTATTTGTTTTCTATTGCTGCATAACAAATTCCGTACTATAAATTTAGCAGCTAAAATCAACACCCACTTTTTTTTTTAATCGATTTCAGAGAGGAAAGGAGAGGGGGAGAGAGAGAGAAACATCAATGAGAGAGAATCATGGATCCGCTGCCACCAGCCTGCCCCCTACTGAGGACTGAGCCTGCAATCCCAGTGTGTGCCCTGATCAGGAAATGACCTGTGATCTCCTGGTTCAGAGGTTGATGCTCAACCACTGAGCCACGCCAGCAGAGCACAGCACCCATTTTTTAATCTCACAGGTCAGTAGCTTGCAGTCTACGTGGGCTCAGCTGGGTTCTTTGCTATGGTCTCACTCGGCCAAAATCAAGTTGTCAACCAGTTGGGCTCTTATCTGCTTCCATGATACCTTCAGGTTGTTGACAGAACCCAAATCCTTGTGGCTTAGGTCCCCATTTTCTGGCTGGCTGTCAGCTGGAGCCACTCTAAACTTCTAGATGCCACATACATTCGTCATCACTTGGCTCCCTCTATCATTCAATCCTTATGCTCAGGGTCTCCCCTATGTCCCCTCCTGTGTAACCTTCTGCCACCAGGTAGAGAGGGTTCTCTAGTTTTCAAGACTCACTTGAATAGATTAAGCCCGCCCCGATAATCTCCCCTTTCGAAGGTCCACTGTGCCATAGGCGTGACAAGCAGGGAAGTGAGGTCTTAGCACATTCACAGGTTGCATGGATTGGGGGCTTAGAACCCTTGGGGACAATTCCTAGAAATGTTGCTTCCCACATAATGTAAGCATAGCAACAGATTATGGAGATTCAGTTTGAAAAGCACTTAAATATATCTAATTTTAGAGCGCACAGTTCAGTTTTTTATTCTCAGCCAATGAAAGGCAAGATAAACTAATGCTGATATCAGCCAGTAGGATTCAACCACAGCTGCTGTAGATTCACAAGTCACTATCCTCAGATGAGCCGCTGGTTTGTGTTTTTCTCAGCAGCATCAAGGTTGAATTGGCCTGAAATTAGATTCAACTCATCCTTAGGAGAGTCCTTATTATTTAAACAGAAATGAAAGGTCACAGCTGCTCTTTTTATTTATTTAAAGGGTTGGTATTCTTTCCAATGAAATCATGTTCTGGATAATGACATGGGTGCAAATCAAAATAGAACCAAGAAGGGAAGAAAGCCGTTTGCAGCCCACAGTGGCTGGTCATTTGCCATCCTTCATCTCCAGGAAGGAAGGTGAGCAAATGCCCTGGTCCCTAGGAGGCCCTGGGCAATCAGGCAAGCCTGGAGCAGAGTTTTCTCTTTGGAAAGCTAATCAGAGATTAAAGCCATAACTGTAGGTTCATGAACATACTCGGTTCATCATTTAGATTCTCATTTAATTTCTCTTATGAAAAATAGTCAATTATTAGCAAGGCAAATACCATGCCTTCCTGAGAGTTTTCTGTAACGCATATATTTTATAAATGAGAAACTCAAGCATATTCTCTCAAATTAATATGAAGTAATGAGCACAGTGATCTAAGGGTAACTTCAGTTCAAACAAACCCCATTTTCAGTGATGCTGGAGTTGAAAACTAGGATCCAAATGAATGACTTCGTTAAACTCTGTCATTGGGCATTAGACCAAGTGCAGCATAAAGATTCTTCCAGATTTACCCAGCCAGTATGGTTCAGCCGTTGAGCTTTGACCCAGGAACCAAGAGGTCGGTGGTTTGATTCCAGGTCAGGGCACATGCCCGGGTTGTGGGCTTGATCCCCAGTAGGGGGCACGCAGGAGGCAGCAGATCAAATCAATGATGTTCCTCTCTCATTGATGTTTCTATTTCTCTCCCTCTCTTTCTAAAAATCAATAAAAACATATATTCTTCCAGACTTGATGCTGGTGAAATATCTTATGGTCATCCAAAAATCCAACGGGGTAACCAAGTTCTCAGTGATAAATGAGTAGTTGCCAACTGGGTTTCCTTTTTCAGTACTGCTGTTCGTTGGAATGGTGTATTGCTTGTGTGTATATATGTTGATGGCGGGCTTTAAGCTATGAGGAATTCTGTCATGTTTTATCCTTGTCTTCAAAAGAAGTGTGAGAAGGGGAAAAAGAAAGCTCTATGAACTCAGTCACTACCAGGATTCAATATCTGTGGTTGCCCCAGAGACTCAGTTTACATACTTGTCCCATTGGCATCTGGGGACAATGTAGATAGGAATCTGGGGTTATCGTCAAGATCTCTAATAACTAATTTAAGCATTGCCAGGGCAGGAAAGACGAAACATGTAGCACATCCTGCAAACCTTTGGAAGGTGTATGAGGACATACTTAAGGCCTCATCCTGAGCCGAGCCTGTCCAATAGAAATATAATGTGGGTGACATCTGTAATTTTAGGTTTGCTAGAAGCACATTTTTAAAAGGAAGAGATAAGTAAATTTACTGATAAGAATATGTTTTATTTAACCCAACATATTTAAAATGTTACCATTTCAGCGCGTGATCAATATAAGGTTGTTAATGAGGTGTTTTTCATTTTTTGGTACTAGGTCTCCAAATGCATTATATGTATTTGTATTTTATGCACACAGCATATCTCAACTCAGAATTGGCCACATTTCAAATAGGCACATACAGCTGCTGCCGTATTGGACAATGGGAATCGTGGCTGCAGGTCATGCTTCGACACAGCAAAAGGGAATTGAGAAGCAGCTGACGTGGCTCTCCGGGTGATGTGCTACATTAGCCTGCTTCCTCCAGGCAACTCCAGAGACTTGGAAGAAGTTCCTCCCGGAGCACCAACCATGGAAAGCTGAACCACATCCTAGACCAGCGGTTCTCAACCTGTAGGTCGCGACCCCTTTGGCGGTCAAACGACCCTTTCACAGGGGTCGCCTAAGACCATCCCGCATATCAGATATTTACATTACGATTCATAACAGTAGCAACATTACAGTTATGAAGTAGCAACGAAAGTAATTTTATGGTTGGGTCACAACATGAACTGTATTTAAAGGGCCAGAAGGTTGAGAACCACTGGCCTAGACCGTTGTTCTATGGCAATTCCAAATTCTACATTTAGGAGCTTAGGGATGGTGGTCTGGTTGAAAGGGGAGCTGTGTTTACACTGTAAGCACACTGTTTCTGCTTAGATTGTATGTTTCCTAAGGATGGCTTTGGAGAGAGCTGATGCAGATGGTGGGGAGTGAAGCTAAATCCCCAAGTCACCCCTGAGGCCAGCTCCCCAGTGCTGAGGTTGTCCCCAGCAGTGATACTGAGGGAGTCCCATTCTGAAGGTCTTGGAAGCTGGGGCAGAAGCTAACGTATGAGAATCGTTGGCACTAGCGCCCTTTGTGAAGCGCTAGATCTAGGACCTTTGGTAGATCATCACCAGAACAGGCTAGGGGGCCAGGGAATGGGGTGGTTTATCAGAAAGAAACAGCCAGAAATGGGAGGGTGACAGTGAGGCTGGACAACCCCGAGGGTAAGGCCACTGCAGAGGAAGGAACTCTGTGGGGTCGCCGGGGGTCACCTGGGAGAGAACCTCTTTGACACTGGGGGGAAGGCAGACTGTGGGAGAGACATCTGTTTGTTTTCTCTGGTGCAAAGAGAATAACAAAATGCGATCAGGAGGCTAATAGAGTGCAGATGGAGAACCTCTGGCTGAGAGCTCAGTCCAGCGAAAGGCTTTGAACTGGAACCAGCCTCTCATTTTCAGCAGTGCGTGTGGCCCGCGAAGAAGAAAGAGTGAAATACAACAAGAGACTCCTCAGGGATAATTATGAGTTACCCTGGCGGGTGAAAACGCAGTGGTTACATGGGGCTGGAGAAACTGTAAGGGTTTGATCATGAAAGGCCTTCCATTCGATGCGAAGGAATCTGGTCAGTGGGAGCAATTCAAAAGTCACAAACCAAAGAATGTGTGATGTGGTATGAACTTGGGAGAGCTCCTGGTGCCTGTTTAGGGTGGCAAGACGGGGGAAGGTGCTAGTTGCAGCGCATTCCAGTAACACAGGTGAGATGGTTGCATCTGAACCCAGGTAGAGACACTGGTGTGGAAAGAGGCGGGGAGGTTGAACTGGCCCCGGTTGTTGGTAGAGAGGGGCGAGGAGAGAGAAGGCAGGCGTCTAGGCTGCACCCACTGTGACGTCCAGATGGGAGCAGCTGGCCGGGTGCCGGTGCTGCCGCTGGAACTGAAACAGGGGGGGGCTATTGACTTTGCAGGTGTGACCTCCAAGGGGAGGCATCGGTGGCAGTTAAGGATCTAAGGGGGGTAGAGATCTGGAGGTTATCAGCAAAGAGCTGTGAGCCTGTGAGGCTACATTACCTGTGCAGCAAACCAAGAGAGCTTCTCTGAATCATAAACATCATTTCTGATGAGTTAATTTTAAGATACTTCGTATTTAATTGAATACGTGGTTTGGGGGAAGATTACAAACAGTATACTTGTGTTTTTTCTAGCCAAAACCAAGCTTTTAGGTCCCCCCCCCCCTCTTTGTTAGGTATCCCAGGACCTGTAATTATTATTTTTCAACAGATACACTTTTTTTCTTAAATTTTATTTGTTAACCTTCACCCGAGGACATGTTTTTCATTGATTCTAGAGAGAGAAAGGGAGAGGGAGAAAGAGAGAAAAACATTGATCGGTTGCATCCTATACTTGCCCTGACCGGGGATTGAAGCCACAACCTGGGGATCGTGCTGCCTGGAATCCAGCCCATGACCCTTCAGTGCACAGGACGACACTCTGACCAACTTAGCCACCCCGGCCAGGGCAGGACCTGTGATTATTGCCACCAGTTTTCTCCACTGGGTGCTCCCTGCTCCTCCATATGTGGGCACACACCTGAGCCAGATGCTTGTGGGTGACCTGGGCTCCCACCCCCACTTCGCCTGAGCCAGGCCTCATTTCACTTTGCTCCATCCCATCCCAGACCCTGCCTGTGCCCCCTGCCCCGAGAATTTGGCCCCCTCCTCTGCACTTTAGCATCCAGGTGCCAGCAGGCTGGGAGCCCTGGGCACTGCAGCCCCACGTGCGGGTCACTTCACGGATGGGAAACAGCTGGTGCTGCGCCAGGGAGCGGGTGGGCGGGGACACGGAAACAGGACAGGAGGCCGAGGAGGGAGAAGCGCCCAGAGCAGGGGCCCAGGACCCTGGGGAATCCTGGGGAAGAGGAGGTAGAGACTGGGGGTGAGTTAGGGAGTGGGGAGCAGGCTGCACCGCAGGGATGGGACCAAGGCCGTGTGTCACAAGCAGCCACTGGAGGAAGCCTGGCAGCTCCAGGACAGAGAGCAGGTAAGGGGCCAAGCCCGGGCGGGGGGTGGGGGTGTGTGTGTGAAGAAGCCCCTCCTCTCTACCTTTGTACCCCAGTGACCCCGATGCCCCAAGTAACTAAACTTAGGTCCTCTCGGGGCTGGCCTCCCAGCAGGAGTGGTGAGATTCAAGGGCAACTGGGTATATGCCTCTCCCCCAACACACACCTTTTTGCTGATGACTGAACTTATCTTAAAAGCAAATAGGACCTTTCACTTCCACACGTTAAAGGCTGAAGTTATAATACAAAGGGGAAAAGTTTCCTGACCCCGAATGTGTTCACAGTAAAGTGCCGGTGACTGAGGGGGGACCGGTCCCAGCCCTGAGAGAGGCGAAGGGGACACCTCCCCGCTGGGAAGGGCCCTGGAACGGGAGGCTGAGGGCCTGGAGGACGGAATTCCCAGCCTCGCCCTTGTCTCCTGGGCCCGGTTCACCGAGACCAGCCTCAGCGCCGGAGGCCTGGCGAGCAGAGCCCCTGGTGTGGGCAGGGGCGGTCCTGGGCAGGGTCCCTGCTTGCGCATCTCATCTGTGAGGTCACTGGACTGTTGTGTGGAAGCGATTCACCATCTCCACGCCGCAAGGACTTCCCAGTGCTGAGTTCCCGGAGGAGCCTTCTATTCGTGGGCAGGGACTCAGGGAACAGATAGGCTTACGTGCGAAGGGACAGATGGAAAGGGAGGCTTTCTTCTCTGTGTGGATTCCCTACTTAAACCTAACGGACGCCCCTCCCTGATCTACAGCATCTTTTCCAGAGTGACAGCACCTCTCCCTTTGGCTCAGCTCCTCCTCCATCTCCTCGGCCTCCCCTGCCGCCGTGTGGGGACGGCTCCCTTCCCACGTCTGTCTGCCCGGGGATGGGGGCTTGGAAGTCATTTCTCAGCCTTTTGAAATGACCTGACCCACATACACCTGTGGCTGCAATGGTGGCTCTGCCCCTGAGTGAGTGGGTAGTTTTTAGCCCATGAGGAATGTGTCTGCACGCTCTCCAACGGCCCCTCTTCCTAATCAGGACACTGGCAAGTACTGGGAGGCGGAGTTCACTGAACCCCCCAGAACACCCCTTACTTAGACTTCAAGTTCTCTCTAATGTGTCTTCACATTTATTGTCTCTTCATTCAATGCTGGTAAAGGAGGCGGAGCGCGTGTCATTCGTCTCATTTGACAGCTCAGAGAGGAGAAACAAGACCCAGCAAGGGTTTGCTGTGCTCACAGAGCAAATCGGGAGCAGACCTGGATCTGGAAGGGAGGTCGGGCCTGTGGGTGGTCCCTGACCCAGGCTTCATGGCCTCAGGGCTGCCTCTCAGGCCTCAGGAACTCACCTGACCCTCCTACACCGAACCTGCAAGTGAGGCCTGAGGCCGCCCCTCCACGGGGAGGATCAGCCACCAGCCAGGGTCCCCCTCACTCCAGACAGAAAGGGTGTGGACCAGCTGAGTCAGGCCATCCATCCCGAGCCAGGGACTATGCTCAGTAGGAGCCAAGGAGATTGGCATCTTTCTAGAAACTTATTAGGTTCTTAAACTGGGACTTGTGGTGAACAACATTCTCCAAATAACAAGTGTCGGCAATGGACAAGATTTTCTAGTTAAACTTTACAACTGGTTAGAAATCTCAGTATCAAGGTGCTTTGGGTAGAACACCACCCCTCCTTCACAGAGGGGCTTGCTCTAACTTCTCTACGGGGGTGGCCGAGTCGGGGTCTGTGTTCGCAGACCTGTGTGTCTTGATCAAATCTTTGGTCATTCTCTGTCCTCTGTGGGGGTGTGAGAGTAGGAAGGGTGGGTGTGTGTGTGTAAGTCTGTGCAGCACACCAGCGCTGATTATTCTATTACATGGGCGTTACTGTCCTGGCTACAGTCCTTACACACTTTCTCTTTTTCCTCACTCTGTTGAGAAGATATTTGTCCAGATCATTGACTCCATTGGTTATGGCAGCCTCCCGCTCCCCATCTTCAAGAAGGGAGACGCTGTTTATCATTCTTGAGAAATCTTATGGTTTAGGTGGGAAAGGTCTGGCTCCCTGCAGGGCCCTGAGAGGAAGATCCAAGAAAGAAAATAAACCTGCATTTGTGGCATTTCCTGGCTGCCCCAGCATTTCTCTGCAACTGACATTGATAAAATTTCATCAAAGGCGTTGGTCCATCAGGCTACAGTTTTTTAAAGCATCATTTACTCTTAGAGTCACATTAGCATTTAAAATATTGCTCTTTTATTCTGCATAGAATGTGACATATATTATCTCCATTTTGCATGTTATCACGTTCCTGAAAACGCAACACAGCCCTGAAATCATTGAAAAACAATTTTAGAATCTGGTTTTGACACTCTTGACAGACACAAAAGCATTCTGGAACAAATAAAGAGACCTCCTACTCTTACATAGTATGATTCAACATTATAAAGATGTTGTTTTCCCTTAGTTAATTAAAAAATCTAATGGATTACCAATAAGCTTTTTTAGACAATTTGATTTTTTAAAAAGGCCAGGAAAACACTTGAAAAAGAATAACAACAGAGATGTCTAGTCCTACTAGACATTAAAATATACCATAAATCCTCTGTAATTAAAAGTGTGGTAGTGCCACATGAATACACAAATTGACGAGTAAAATAGAATAGAAAGCCCAGAAATAGACACAAGTACATATGGAAATTTAGCAGATGGTTAAAGGTGGCATCTAAAATAGGACAAAGATGGGCATTTTAATAAATGCTATTAAAAAAGCAAAAAACCAAAATGCCCATCCCCTAATGCCACAATTTCCAACCTTTTTCATCTCATGGAACACATAAACTAATTACTAAAATCCTGAGGCACACCAAAAATATACTTTTTACTGATCTGACAAAAAATAGGTATAATTTTCATTCAGTCACACCAGACCACTATTGTGTTGGCGGTTGTCATTTTTTTTAATTTGACAATCTAAGGCAGTGGTTCTCAACCTTGGCTGCACATTAGAATCACCTGGGAATCTTTTTAAAATCCTGATTTCTGGGCCTCATCCTCCGGAAA